GTCTACTGAAGGCTTTTAGATAGACCCTCTGTAAAGTATCTCTGACTGCCAATCAGCAAGCATGACCCCCTTCCACCTAAAGAAGCAAAGGTCTGCCATAGCCCACTACTCCCTGATGGCAGTTCAGGGTATGTCTTCAAAGGGGGAAAAGTTATAGTCAGCTAAATTAGACAGAATATTATAGGCAGTCAGAGAAGGCTAGACATTCAAAAGAGCCAATGCAGAAGACCAGATACTTTGCAACCGAGGGAGACAGACACCTCCACTCAGGGGCCAGACCTCAAGATAAAAAATAAAATGAATGAACTCACATTCTAAGGATAAAACATCAAGGACTGATATTCTCAATAGGTCTCTGTCATCTTGAGGAAGCCAGGGGGGGTGCTACTAACCCAGCCTCCTACAGGCAGAGACCTTCTTCTGTATTTATCCCTGCTTACTACATGACTCATGTCCCCCATTAGACTCCAATTTAATCAAGTTGACCAGAGCAATTATGTTCCTAATCTTATTGGTTGACCATAGATCTGTCCTACCTCATGCCCAACTTGTGAGTTCCCGTTATCTCCCAACTGAGACCCACTTTACCTTGTGATATTGCTCTATAAATATCGCTAGAAAAAGCAAAGTTCTTAGCAATCCATTGAGGACCAATTCTGTCTCTCTTGACAGAAGCTTTTTTTCTCTTTGTAAATATATTCTTCTCATTAAAAAGAAACCTACCTAGAATTGATGAACACCTGGTGATGGGCTTTCACATGCTTCAGGATGTGTCCACCATGAAGTCGCCGAATGCACACATGGATAGCGGCCTATAAGCCCTGAAGGAGAGCTAACAGATTGAACATCCTTTGGCAAAGCCACAGAGGAGCAGCACAGAGAAAATATTGCTAATCTTAAAAGTATAAGAGTTCAACAACTGCTCATATATTGTACTGACCTGTCACAGAAAATGATAAATAATGGAAACCGAACATGGTGATCTACATTGGGCTTGAGCCAAGAAGGCCAGGTCGGTCTCCTCACCTGAATTCCACTTCAGATTTACCTGGCTAGTCCTCTGCTTCATCTCTGATTCTCCTGAGCCTCTTTTACTGCTTAAAGAAGCATCCTAAAGATGCAAGGGGAGAGGATTGGGGAGTCTGGAGGTGTCTGTTGCTTTCCCACACCTGTTTATATATGATGATGAGCCGATGTGTTAGAGCCTCTGTGTCCTCTTCCCTCATCCCACATGACACACACACCCACACGTACACGCACATGCACATGCACACACCCAGGCAGGGTAAACCCCTGATGGGACAGCCATGACTCAGCTGCCTCACAGTTCCTGAGCAGTATGATCCTCCAGATCCTTGCAGCTAGTACTGTCCTACCAAGGTCTCTGCTCTTCATTTCCATGATTTGCTCAATCTGGTTAGGTCACATACTTACTCTAGGCTTTGTTCAATTTCAATCAGAGTTTAGAGAAAGACTTCTTCCTATCAGCTCCCAACTCCAACCCACACTCCTGTAGGAGTGACATGAACAGGTGCTGTAGGTGCTCTGAGATCCACATTCATCACCCAAAGTGGTCTCCAAGGTATAGCAATTATAGTCCCTGTGGATATGTCTCAACAAGAAGACAAGCAGTTTCCTCTGAGGCCCAGTTCCCAGTCCCCTAATGCACCCACAGATGAGGTCTAAAAGACCTGAGTCCCAAATCTGCATGTTCCCTTGTGGAATTAGAACTCTCAGTCAATGTCTTCAGTATGAAGAAAGTCATGAACTATGCCAATTGTTGCCCTCACCCATGTGGCTCTATCCTGATTCAAAGAAAAAAGTTTATCTGCATTATGCAGAAGGGTCAAGGAGCACCCTTCCAGAACTCAGTTGGGCACATTGTCTTCTGTTTGTTCTCTCTGGAAGCCACAGAACTCATTAAGTCAGTCTCTCAAATTGATAGTATCCTTCTCCCTCCTCCTCTCTCTCTCTCTCTCTCTCTCTCTCTCTCTCTCTCTCTCTCTCTCTGTCTTTCTCTCTTTCTCTCTCTCTTCCCTCTCTCCCCTCCCTCTGTCTTGCTCTCTCACTCTCTCTCTCCCCCGTAGGTAAAGCAAAAGCAAAGAGGAGAATCTGCCAGCTCTTCTTGCACGATCTTTGCCAGTTCTTTGTATCTTTGAGTACAGAATTTTTAGACCCTGCTAATGTTGGTTACTGAGACAAAATCATGTCATTACTGAGACAAAATACCCAATGCTCAAAATGAAGGAAGGAAGGTCTGTTTAGCTTAAAGTTTTTGGAGGTTTTTATCCATACTTAACTGGTTCCAAGGCAGAGTGGTATGGCTGAGGGGCAACAATTCATGGCAGCTGTGGCAGGTACCAAAAGCACAAGAGCAAAAGGGCAAAAAGGAGGGAGCAAGCCTCTTTTCTTCCTTTATATTGTAAATAAGCTATGACCCTCAGGTGGATGTAGCACTCACACCATCTCCATGCCCTCCTCTTGTACAGTGAGGATGTTTACAAAGTAAAGACCCTGGGTCCCTGCTCGATTACTTAGTTAAATGCTTGACCTTCTAAAATTGACACAATGAACACTATCTTAGAGAGGTTACAGCCTCTACATCCCAGGATGAGAGCTTCTGAGTTACTTAATTAAGCTTCTTGACTTCTCCAGTTGACACAGTTTATCAAACATAACAATTCAGCCTTTTTCAACTTGGGAACCCGATACATTTATTTAAACCAGTTTCCAGATATAAAGATATGCATATTCTTGTTATTGTACAACTTGAACATTATAACAGGTTTAATAATCCTTAAGAATCAGCATTAAATCTAGAAACAGTATTTTACATTATAATCATAACATTCTCTCCTTGACCCCTCAAAGATGCATGGACATCCCTTGATGTAAAAAGCATTTAATCATCTCTAAAAGGTGCCAATGTCTTAGGAGTTTCAGGACAACTAAAAGTCCAAGTCCCAAGTCTCCTCTGAGATACAAGGCAAACTCTTAGTTGCAACCTCCTGCACAAATAAAAAACTAAGTTAAGCCCTGCCAACATTCAATAGCTCAACATAAACATTTTCATTCCATAGTTACAAACAGGAGGGAATATTCAGAAAGAAGCAAGACCAAAATCTGGAAGGGCAAACATTAAGTCTTGTAATTCCATGTCCCACATCTGAAGCAATCTGGTTGTGGATATAGCTCCCATGGCTCCTTTCTTGTGGTGGTTTTGTTCCCTCTTGCAGGATTACATGGATGATCCATGCTCCTGGCTTGTCCAAACCTTTAGAGTCTCCACTGTACCTTTGCCTTCACATTCACAGAATCATACACTGCTCTCTCAAAGGCACACTGCCTGGTCTCCAAGGCCTTCTGAAGTCAGGGTGGAAGATTTTTTAACCTCAAAACTCTTGAATTCCATATGCATCTAAAACCAGGCACATGCAGGTGATGCCAAGGTTTGATCTCAATTGGAGAAATAGGCAGGCTTTCCTCTTACCTGCATGAGTAGAGTGCCTCAGGCACTGAACTCTCTAAAGCTGATTGTGAGGAACAAATTCTCTCTGCCACCACCATCCTGGAACATGGCCCTTTGCAGCTTTCTTCTCAAAGGAAAGTCTTTCATTCTTGCAAGTTTCCAGTCTGCAAAAGGAGATTTACTGCTTCTTGTAATGCTCTCAGACCCTCTTTTATATTCTCCTGTTCCTTCTCAGCAATTGAGACCTCAGCTCTACCTTTATAGTTCATAGCTTTACAAGAACTTGTTTCTGGCCAAACTCACAATGATTGAAACCATACTGCTGGGCTATTTGCTTTTGATCTGCATCATAAATCTGGTTAAAGCCCCCAACAATATCCATGCCACCACCTCAACATTCAACTGCCTTGAAATTTCTTTTGCCAGATTAATTAATCTGCCACCCATAATCTCAATCTCAGGCAAAATCTCTGGACACAAGGAAAATGCAGACAAACTTTCCGCCAAGCCATAGCACACATCCTCTGGAGTCCAAAAACCAATGTAGTCCTTCTTCCCAGGAGAAATCTCTCAAACCTGGTCTTTACTGGAAGAATTTTTACAAGGCTCCTGGTCTTCAGAGCTGTGACCAGAATCTCCTCTAAAGAATGGCCTAAAGCATTCTGGCAATACTCTTTCAAGTAACATCTTGTGTTACTTGTGTCAAGTAACATCAAGTGTTTCCAAACACTTCCCCAAGCCATTTTCAAGTGTTCTTAAACCACATAGTCAGGCATAGTCACAGCAATGACCCTACTCCTGGAATCAAATTCTGTGTTACTTACTTTTCTCTCATTGCTGAGACAAAATACCTGACACCCAAAATGAAGGAAGCACACATTTATTTAGCATGCATTTTGTGGTGATTTCTGAATGTGCTTATCTGGTTCCAAGGCAGGGTAACATGACTGAGGGGAAATTGTTCACAGTAACTAAAGCAAATACCAAAAGCACAAGAGCAAAAGGTCAAAATGAGGTGAGCATGCTTCTTTTCCTCGCTTATATTGTAAACAGACTACACCCTTCAGGGGTGTGTAGCACTCACACCATCTCCATGCCCTTTTCTTGCAGGAGCTAAGGATATTTACAAAGTAAGGTCCCTGACTCTTGGTTAAACTTCTGACCTCAAACTCACACAATGGCAATATCCTTGAGAAGAAATGACACGTCCTTTACATCCCAGGATGGAGAACTGCTGAGATACTTAGCTGTTTTTGTAATCACAGACAAGTGAGACCTGCCACACCAGGACTTCACAGGGTTTAGTTCCACAGCCTTCTATTATTTGCCCTGGGAGTCACAGGTCTCCTTATGGTTCTTCACACACTTTATCTTTGCTTCCCTCTTCTTCCTGGTGCAACTGTTCTGCACCTTTTCATGCTTCGTACCATGGTATACACTGATTGAGCCCTCATTCTTGTGATGAATCAGGAAGGTCCACAGTCTGGTGCCTGAGTAGGTGGCTCCCAGGCTTCTCCAAGGGTGGAGCTGACTAGGGCAGCTTGGCACTGCTGACAATTTTCCTTGCAGCCTCTTTCACCTCCTTGTTCCTCAGGCTGTAGATGAAGGGGTTTAACATGGGGATCACTGTGGTGTAGAACACAGACACAACCCGATCCCTTTCTGAGGACCGGTTAGAGTTGCCTCCCAGGTACATGAAGATGCTGGTGCCAAAAAAGAGTGACACTGCAGTGAGGTGGGAGACACAGGTGGAGAAGGTCTTGGCCCGGCCTCCCGCAGAGTGGATCCTCATGATGGCCACGATGATGAACAGGTAGGACACCAGGATCACCACCATGCTCACGGGGATGACGAAAATGGCAAACACAACAATGACCAGCTCCTGGGTGTAGCTGTCCCCACAGCTCAGCTTTAAGAGTGGAGGAAGGTCACAGAAAATGAAGTCAATCTCGTTGTTTCCACAAAAGGAGAGAGTGAAGGCAGAGACCGTCCGCACCAGCGCACTGAAGAGACCAGCCACGTAAGCTCCAGCCACAAAACCTAGACGGACCTTCTGTGTCATGATGGTGACATACAGCAAGGGCCGGCACACGGCCACATAGCGGTCATAGGCCATGAGGGCTAAGAGGTAGCAGTCGATGGAACCAAAGAAGGTGAAGGAGAAGAACTGAGCTACACAGCGAGAGTAGGACAAAGCCGCCCCATGCTGCAACAACACAGCCATCATCTGAGGGACAGTGACAGAGGAGTAGCAGATGTCTGCCAGAGACAGGTGACTCAGAAGGAAGTACATCGGGGTGTGGAGCCGGCGATCCACGCGGATCAGAATGATCATCCCCAAGTTCCCTGTTACAGTGAGGAGGTAGAGAGACAAAAACAAGAGGAAGAGAGGGAGCCCCCAATTGGGAAACTCAGTGAAGGCAATCAGCAGGAACTCTGTCACTAGGGTGAAGTTCGCGCCTGCCATGCAGACCCTGGCACCTGAGAAGGCAGGGATGAGAAGCAAATTAGGAAACTCTGAGTGAGATTTGCCTTTATTGCTAGTTTGCATTTATTTATTTATTTTTTATCGGTACCAGGGATCAAACTCACGACCCCATGCTCACAAGGCAGGCACTTATGCCGCTGAGCTAAATCCCCAGCCCCTAGTTTGCATTTATTGAAGGTGTGCACAACATATGTCCGAGATGATTGGTATAAGCCCTACCTTCACAGCAGTTCTGTAACAGTCATCTTTGTATTGTAAATAAATGAACAAGAACATTTGCAGCATATGACTGTGCGTTCCCCAACTTCTACTAAGCAGCTGTGTGAGTCTGGGGAGCTGGAGACCACTTGGAACCACTCTTCCCTCTGGTTCCAGTAGGCGCTGACACAGGGCCACCCCGGCCTTCTGTACCACCACACTGACCATCTCAAGACCCCACCACTCTTTCTCTGTGACCTGGCTCCTCTGCTATTTCCAACCTGGTTCTTTCCATATTAGGCTTAATACAATAGCCTAAAGCAGTGGCTCTCCCAGCCTTCTTCTGCTGGTTTCTCACCAGTGTTTGCTCCTTTAACTGAAATCTTGGTTAAAATCTTGACTGTCTTTTAGAACTCTGCCCAGGCACTGCATCATGGGCGGGATGTCACTCGGACTCCTCTGTCAGCAGCAACGTCCTCATCCTGACCCCTGAGCCTGCTTCTTCACGGCCCTTTTACTTCTCAGTCTCACACAATTGTCACACTTGCCTTCCACAACTTGTCCAGACATGTGAAGTTACACCTGCAGCTCCTCCAGCCCTCCACATTCTTTCCCTCTGCACAGTGGGCAAAGCACCCCTTGTCCTAGGATGCCTGTGCTTCCAACCCCCAGATCCTGCCAGACCACTGAGCACTATCCAGCCTCCACCCACAGGGTGCTTCTTGCTTACCTCTCCATCTTCCCCAGTCAGTGTATGTGTCCTGGGGCTTCAGAGCATATGAGGGCTTATGACATTTTTGTGAAAGAAGTTTTCAGATGAGACAAGAAGCACTTTGCAAAGAGAAAGGTTCTGTGCACATATTCAAGTGTTTACTTTCGTTTTTTGAAAACATTTAACAACATGAAATGCTAGAAATGATGAACACCAACAGCTGGGTTTATGTGTCGTTCTTCAACGTATATGCCTACTGAACAGTGTCTACCATAACTACACCCTCCTGGTTTTGACAGGAGTGGGGTTTTACACCATCCTTAACAGAGAACACATAAACACTCTTCTGCACAATGCATATTACTTTATTTAATCCCCACAACCACTTCATGATGAAGGAACTTCTTTCTACAGCCTAGGAAACTCAAGTCAGAATGAGTTTGACACGCATGAGATTGCGCAGCCAGTGAACAGCAGAGCTGTCCTGAGAAACAAAAGCGCACATGGGTCAGTTTACCTGGTGATGGCCTTTCACATGCTTCAGGACGTGTCCTCCATGAAGTCCCCAGATGCCACACCTGGACGGCAGCCTATAAGCTCCTGAGGGCAGCTTAGCAAAATGAATCTTCTTTGGCAAAGCCACAATGGAGCAGCACAGAGAAAACACTGATCGTCTTGAAAGCATAAGACTTTGGCAGCTGCCCCCATGTTGGACTGACCTATCACAGAAAATGACAAATATCAGAAACTGGAAGTGGTGATCTGCACTGAGCTTGAGCCAAGAGGGTCAGGTCAGTCTCCTCACCTGAATCCCACTTCAGATTTACCTGGTTGGTCCTCTGCTTCATCTCTGATTTTCCTGAGCCTCTTTTACTGCTTAGAGAAGCACCCTAAAGGTTCAAGGGGAGAGGACTGGGGAGTCTGGAAGTGACTGTTGCCTCCCCACACCTGTTCACATATCATGATGAGTCCATGTGTTAGAGCCTCTGTGTCCTCCTCCCTCATCCCACATTACAGACACACACACACACACACACACGCACACACACGCATGCACACACACACGCACTCATGCAGGGTGAACCCCTGATGGAACAGCCATGACTCAGCTACCTCACAGTTCCTGAGCAGTATGATCCTCCAGACCCTTGCAGCTAGCCCTGTCCTACCAAGGACTCTGCTCTTCATTTCCATAATTTGCTCAGTCTGGTTAGGTCACATACTTCACTCTAGGTTTTGTTCAATTTCAAGCAGAGTTTGGAGAAAGTCTTCTTCCTACCAGCTCCCAGCTCCAACAAACACTCCTGTAGGAGAGACACAAACAGGTGCTGTAGGTGCTCTGAGATCCCCATTCATCACCCAAAGTGGTCTCCAAGGTACAGCAATTATAGTTCCTGTGGGTTTGTCTCAACAAGAAGAGAAGCAGCTTCCTCTGAGGCCCAATTCCCAGTCCACAGGTGAGTTATAGAAGACCTGAGTCCCAATTTTGCATACTCCCCTGAGGAATTAGAAGTCTCTGGCAATGTCTCCAGTTGGAAGAATGTCCTGAACTACACCAGCTGCCACCCTCACCCACGTGGCTCTATCCTGATATCAGGGAAGACCTTGTCTGCATTATACAGAGGGGTCAAGGATCACCCCAGCCAGGCATCAGCTGGACACTGTCTTCTGTTTGTCCTCTCTGGAAGTGATATGACTCATTAAGTCAGTCTCTCACTGATGGTCTCATTTCCTCCCCTCCCCACAGTTAAACCAAAAGCCAAAGGAGAGAATTTGGCAAGCTCTCTTGGCATGATCTTTGCCAACTCTCTGTATCTTTGACAGTATAAAATCTTTAGACCCTACTCTGTAGGCATTTTCTTACGTTGAATTGCAACGTGTCTGAAATCAAGGAAATAGAAGGAAGGTAAGAAAGAACAGGATAGTTGTTTTCTTTGACTATTTTGAGAATGAAGAGATAATGGGACCATGGTAATTCTTCAGTTCATGACTGTACTGAGAGTTCTAAACAAGGAACAAGAGATACAAAATAGAACACACACACACACACACACACACACACACACATGCATGCACACAATGCCTTTTCATAAGAAATGTGTACTTTAGAAGATGAAATAATTATCCATCCTACAGGATGACAGGTATGAAATTCTTCAGCCAAATTCAAGTCACGTACCATGCACATTCAGTGTACAGCAAGAATACAGTTGGAGTGGATCAGGGATCCTCTCAGAGGAGATGGTCATGGGAAGGAGGAGGCAATGGAGGTACAATGGGCAAACAGCTTAGGCAGGGGGATCAACATGACCAAATGCATAACAGAAGAGCCAGAGGACTGCTCTTAGGTCAGTGAGTGATACTTTTTTGGTAGTACAAGATGGTATAGAGTCAGCATCACTTTTCCAAACTGGTTGGGACCAGAAATATTTCAAATTTCAAATGTTACAATATCTGCATCTACAAAATGAACTATCCTTGGGGCAGGACCCAAGTTTAAGTGTGAAATCCATTTGTGTTTCATACACACCTTACACAGAGCCTGGAGGCAATTTTATCAGCATTTTTAAAGTACCTGTATTTTGACTGTAACCTGTCACATGACGTCAGTTTGGAATTTTTCACTTGTCACTTCATGCAAGAACTCAGAATTTTTTGAGATTTTGAAGCATTTGGGATTTCCAGTTTTCAGATTCAGGATGCTCATCACATACTGGGCAAGTCCAGTGCTGAGTGAGATATATATGACACTGGCTCAAGCATCAAAGACAGAGAGGCACCAGGAACCTTGATAAAATGGGATTTTAAGCTACTAATTTTAAATATCAAAATCAATGCAGACACTAGCAATATTTTTGGTGAAGAAAACATCAACATTTTAGTTAAAGGCAGCATGGAGATTTTACGGATTTTCCTCTTGCCTCAGTCCCAAGTATGCCCCACAGGACCCAAGGACTGGGAGAGATGCTTGAAGTCAGAAAAAAACTGAGGGGCTTTGGCAGGGAGAGATGTAACAAGTGCCTTTTAAATATCGAGGGGTCTTTGGTTCTCTCCTCACTATTCTTCATTTTAAAAACGCAAGAAAGTCAGCTCAGTATGAGTGAATAGTTGCAGTATCTGTACCCGTCTAAAAGCCCTCTCTCCGTCTATCTTCCTAAGAATTCTGTGAGGGTCAGGGAGAGTGATTTTCCTCCTTATAGAGATGAGTGAGAAGAGGCACAGAGAGGGGGCTGTGGCCACGTGGTTACCTGGTGCAGAGATCATAAATTTTGTCTGCTCCAGTCACACTGACTGCCAAAGGACTCTCTGCCTGGTTGCAGTCTCTTCTGAAGGTTTTTGGTTTTAACAATGAACACACACATGCATGCACATGTCAGAGTTTATCAGATGAAGAGATGAGTCTTCTGTATTAACAAATAAACAGCATCATGCAGCTTTGTGAAATAAGTGTATTCTTACTCACAAAATGTATAGTTTGTATGTCAGAGTGATGGCAATTGGAGAAGGTGGCCTTCGAGGCTGCCAGGGCAGAGGAGGGAAGGGAGACAGGGCTAGGGACAGACATGAGATGGTCCTTCTCCCCTCTATCTGCATCCCAGTTCCCGGAAGCCAAAGCCCTGGCTCAACACGACCTCCAGAGGTGCCAGGAGGCCTCTGATGCACAGGCATGCTGGCCCAAACTGATGTCTGGGTAAGCAGGTCCGTGCCCTTCCTCACCCTGATGCAATATGGAGTCTGAAACCCCTTCAGGATTCTGGAGGATGCTCGAAGGCTCCCTCTTACGTTTGAAAGGCTCTTTTCTTCCTGCTTCTCCTCATTTCCAGCAACCTCTAGTCCTTCCTTCACACCAAATATGAGGGATGACCTAGGTGCTTTCTCTCCCAGTCTCTGAAGCAAACTTGACAGTGTTCGCATACAAGAGGTGCTTTTAACAAAAACAATGTGGAAAATGTAGGAATTTTACAGTAGTTCATGGATTAGGGGTTAGAATTAAATAACTTATGTCACAATGTAATTTCCCCTGACAGTCCCACCACAGGGGATTTGTCACTAGCTGCCCCTAAATTTC